TTAATAGACAAGGCTCAGAAAGTGAGCGGGATATTTGTATTTGTTTATTTGCTATAAATGCTTGTGTTGTTTAAATGTACAGTTTATATATCTGACTGTTTGTATTAAAGGACAAAATTGTATTACAGATAGTATATAAATATATTTATACATTTTAATACAAGAATTGCTGTGCTGTGCTATAGTATCTAGATGCAGCCTTTATGATGCAAGCTGAGATTGCGTCACTCAGCAATGCAATGTCAGACACAATGCACTCAAATGGAGCTAGAGTGATGTCACTGTGAGGGTTAGGTGAGCCCATTAAAAAGCATTGGATGCAGCTCAGATTGGACTGCACCACGTCTGCATCCAGACCCCTCTCGTGCTGTGAAGAAAATATAAAACTGTATGAAAAGCATCGTCAATGCACCGTGATGCACTAAGATATCGAATTGAACTGAATCAATGGCATGATAATCGTAACCGAACCGTGAGACCAGTGTAGGTTCACAGCTCTACTATTACACCACCACTAGCCTGAACTGTTGATACAAGGCAGGATGGATCTATGCTTTCATGTTGTTATTCTGATCCTACAATCCAAATGTGGCTGCTGAACTTGAGACTCATCAGACCAGGCAACGTTTTTCCAATCTTCTATTGTCCAATTTTGGTGAGCCTGTGTGAATTGTAGCCTCAGTTTTCTGTTCTTAACTGACAGGAGTGGCACTTGCTGTGATCTATTGCTCCTGTAGCCCATCCGCCTCAAGGTTGTTCAGAGATGATCTTCTGCATACCACAGTTGTAATGAGTGGTTATTTGAGTTACTGTTGCCTTTCTATCAGCTCCAACCAGTATGTCTCTTCTCTTCTGACCGCTGGCACCAACAAAGCATTTGCGCCCATAGAACTGCTGCTCACTGGTTATTTTCTCTTTTTCGGATCATTCTCTGTAAATCCTACAGATGGTTGTCCCTGGAAAATCTCAGTGGATAAACAGTTTCTGAAATACTCAGACCAGTTCATCTGGCACTAACAACTATGCCATGTTCAAAGTCACTTAAATCATCTTTTTTTCCATATTCTGATGCTCTGATCTGCAGCAGATCGCCTTGACCATGTCTACATGCCTAAATGCATAAATCTCATAAAAATTAAGCATTTTTCAAAGTGTCCATAAGCATTAAACATATTACTGTAAGTATCATTCATTTCATCTGAAAAACTGAAATGGCTCACTGTAATACAAAAATAAACAATTATGTTACAGTTGATGAGTATAACAGACACGTTTACCCAAAACAAAATAGTTAGTAATACCTCTTTTAGCAACTTGATGGTAAAGCCTTTTTGTTAACTTTGAAGTTAGTACAGATACAGTACATGTGATATTAATGTATATGAAGTGAGACTATCCATTGGGGCTTTAACTTGAATCACAGACTTCTTCTGCTTGATGCATCAGCACTGCTGGGTGACAGTGCTCGATCTTCATAAATGGCTAATAAAGTTGTCTCCTTGCTATGTCTGCTAATTCTCCCACCCACACGTGCCCAATAGCATTGAGTTGGATGTCCTTAGGACAAATGTCAAGGGGTTGTTGTCAGTGAACCCTTTGAAGGGGGGTGCATTGAACAGGTGATCATGGAACCTTTTGCAGACTGCCCACTCAAATTGCCAAAAACTCGAGCTTTTCAGAGTGAAGTCTTTATCTTCTCTCAGCTGGGGTCAGTGTCCTGAAGCCATAGCCAATGGCTCTGAGCCTGCTGTTTTGCTGCTGATATAGCACAGCTCCAAGTCCTTGTTCAGAGGCATCAGTATGAAGCATAAATGGGAGTATAAATTTCGGGTAGGTCAGTACTGGGGGGCGGGTTAAAGTCTCAATAATTCTTTCCAACACATCTTGGTGTTCTGTTGTCCACTCTACTCTGGCACGTGATGGTAACTGTGCTCCCCTTCTTCCAGCTCTGCCATACTTGATCTGTTCTGCATTGGCTACTAATGCATGAGACTAGAGGAGCTCATACATTGGCTTAGCAATCGATGAGAAATCCTGGATGTATGTGTGGTAGTAACTGAGGAAACCCAGTAATTGTCACAGCTCACCAACTGTGTTTGGTTTCTTTTTATTCAGGGAGATCACTGCGTCCATGTTGCTCAGTTCAAGAAGCACACCAGTCTGAAACCAGTCTTCCCAGATATCTAACCTCTCTCTTGTAGAGTTCACATTTTTCTGGTCTCAGCTTTACTCCATGCATTTGCAGTGCCCTGAGGACTCTCCTCAATTCTTAAACATGGTTGTCAAATGTCTCACCATAGTTGAGGATGTCATCGATGTATGCAATGCACAGTTCATCTCTTAGTGAGTCAAGCATGCTCCTTTGAAAGGCAGCTGGTGCATTGGCAAGCCTAAACAGTCAATGCTTTCAGGTTTCAGGACCCTTCAGCCATAAATTCCTGATGGTAGTCTTTTCCCTGGTCTAGGATTGAATACAATCGGTAACCCCCTATGTTTGTCAATAAAGGTCCTGGATCCAGGGAAGTGGGTGTCTATCTGGAACTTCTTTTGATTCAATAATCTGTTGTCAATACACAGCCTAAGGGTGCCATCTTTCTTATGAACACACACCACAGGCTTGGTCACCCACCCTTGAGGTAGTAAGTGCTGGATGTATTCCTTCACCTCTTTATTCAGGGGTTTTGGGATGGAGGCATATGTTCCCTAAACAGGGATGTAGTCCTTCAAGCTGATCGACATCTGTAAGCTTGGGATACACCCTATATCATCTTCTTGTGCAATGGCATTTGACTCTTCATAGAGCATTACTCTGACTAGTTTCTGCTGTTCTTCTAGATGGCTTATGTTAACAGGTGGGGGCTACTTTTCTTGAGGGACTCCCCCTTCCATCTGACTCACTGGTATATCAATGTCACTCTCCATATCTTGTTGGATAAAGTGAACTATGGGTTGGATACTACCCATGTATGTGTGTCGATGACTGCAGACTTCACTTGCGAAAAGATTGCTCAGAGGGATCTTGACATAGAAGGGAATGACCGACCCTATCTCTATCAGCCCTTCTCCATTGTCCAGTTGGGTCAGTGGTGTACTCTTGTCATCAGATTCAAACTACACTACTGGCTCTGAGAGGTCTTGGCCAGCTGGGGTTTTACACTTCACATGAGTCTGCCAGCCAGCAGGTACAATTACATCTTTTGTACCAACTGTAACAACAGCCTCCTGCATTGTGAGGGAATAATCCAGTCATCTCTGTCCATCCCTCAAAAGGGAAAGTATCCCTATTAACAGCTGAAACTGAAATCACCCCCACCAACTATCTCAGATAGGGGTCGAAAGTTTACTTTTCCAAATGTCATCAATTATACTAATTTGTGACCCTGTGTCTGATCGAGAACTTACTGAAAAACCATTAATATGACATTTAAGAATAGCTTTCTTTCTGATAAGCTTTGCTACTTGGTTACATGGTTTTTGTCTTGTGCATAACCGCGGATAGGAACCTGGAAGTCTTCCTGACCCAGATACTTTCTCATTGATTTGAAACTGAATTTGTTAGGTTCCTGCTCACCTCCCATCAGAACACCTTTTCTTTCTTTACACCACAAACTGCACAATGTCCTTCATTACATAAAAAAGCAATGACTGCAAGAGGTAAAATCTTTGCTACTACATTTGGGACATACCTGTCTACTGTGTTTTCGTTGAAGCTGGGAATCTGTTCTTGCCTTTGCAAGTGATTCTACAGTCTTTGTTTGAGAGGACCTAACCCATCACTCGGCCTTAATCCTGGAAGACACATTCATAATGCTGGATTTGCTCATTTGAAAAAAAGTTTTAAAGTTTCTTTGTGGATTTCTGTAAACGATTCAAGGGAGACCGAATTGAAATTGTTTTTATCTAGTTTCCCTTAGAATTTGTAAAATGTAACCTACTACAAAAGGCACCAAACCTCACTAGTTGTCTTCTGTCTTGTGGGCTTTTGATTTCAAACCTGACGCAGTGTGTTTAATAGCACCACATGTGGTTTGAGAGCTACAAGCGTGTTTTCATGAACATTTATTTTTCATTTGTCCAAATGTTTCGGAACAACATGAGCGTGAGTAAATATCATTTATTTGGCCATTCTGCTTTTAATACCATTTCTTTATTAGTAGTCATTTTGGTGTTTCTGTTTCTCAAAATGCAAATAAAAGCAGATGAATGAAGTTCTGGTTCAAAAGCCTTTTAAATGAGCTGTGTATACAAATAAATACATTAATAAGAACGAACCATTAACACTAAACAGACCACAATGATTTATTCAAAATGTGGCAACGATACAAATCAAGGCTAATTTCCGTTTCTAATAGCAGCTGGGGTTTCAGCAGGTAAAGTCATAATTTTGCCTCATAGAAGCAAACGTCTTATTATTAAATTGTGCATATGGACTTGTTGGTTTTTTTCTATTATGCTTTGATTTTTAAACATCCTTGAATCAAGATGCACAATTCTCTCAATTTTCCAGGAAATCTAACAAAAATATTTTTAAATTTGAAACAAGAACAAATGAGTAAATGTGGTAAAGATACAATATTGAAAGATGCAACATTTACATTGGCTTACATTGCTTATGAATATTGTCTTTAATATTGTCATTAAAATTCTCTAATTAGAGACTTTCATTTGTTCGTTTTCTTCAGCTTAGTCCCTTTATTAATCAGGGGTCGCCACAGCAGAATGAACCGCCAACTTATCCAGCTTATGTTTTATGCAGCGGATGGCCTTCCAGACGCAACCCAACACTGGGAAACACCCATACACTCTCGTTTACACACATACACTTTTATAATGTCTAAATGTAACATTTTATATTTTTTATGTATTATGTAACATGTTTTTCTAAATTTTTTCTTTGTAGCTTCAAATTCGAATGTCACATCTCATTGCTCAAAGATTTGCATGTCGTTATTTTTTTATTTTAAATTTAGAGGGTGGAGTTTTACAGTTTCACTGTGTATATAAGAAACTCACTCCTCTTAGTCCTCAGTGGAAAAATGGGTTTCTTTTTTGTTTACATTAGCTTCTTGGCCTATGCCTTAGTCAATGTGCCAGTTTCTATTATCACTATTCTGATGAATGTATTTTTTGTGTACTGTATGTTTTCTTCAGAGAAAGGACAAGCAAACAATGTAAAACCGCCGCTGAATGTTTTGCTGTGGTCCCTTATTGGATGCAGTCTTCTTCATAACATTTTCAACCTTTTATTTGTTTTGTATGAATTAGTTTACCCACCTGTCTGGCTGTACATTATTTCGGGTGCTACTATACTTTTCGCCATAAGGACAAGTTTTACTGCATGCCTCGGTCTGCAAGTTTGTTACTTCTTGCAGATTGTTCCAGTCCGATGGCCTTGCTTTATCTGGATGAAGAAGCACATCAAACTCTTCATGTACGTCTTGTTGTTTCTTGACAGACTCTACTTTCTGTCTCAATATGTCATACGTGTTTTTCTTGAGATTCGGAGGGTAGTGATGTCCTTTAATTCATCCAGCGTTTATGACAACACCACCAGCCAGTCAGCAGATTTCGGATACTACATGTTTATCGCAGACTTTTGGCTGAAATTTTGCTATTTTTTCATTTGTCTTGGCATTATGCTGACGTCAGGCATCACGACTGTCGTCTACTTGTGGAAGCACATGAAGAGAATGAAGGAGAACACCAGCTCTTTATCTGCTCTTTGTAAAAGGCAGCAGATGAGAGTGACCATCATGGGCATCATTCAGACGGTCCTCTTCTTCTTTGCTTCAGGGTGGCTCATGACTGAAGAGTTCATTTTTTGTTATATTGGTGGTTTTGATGTGGGCTCCCGTTTGGCTTCCACTGTAATGGCACTGTATTCTTTTGGAACGACCTTACTTTTAGGAATTGGTCAGTCCAAATTCCGACTTCTGGCTAAGGATATCGGCAAAAAGACAAGAAAACCAAAATCCTAATCCTGTTAAATCCTATTTAATTTTGGTTGTCACTTCTGGCAGCAGATGAATTAAAAAGATAGTTATTGGATGAGGAAAATGACCTCATTATTTATTAACCCTCTTGTGGTTTTAAACTTCATCAGTTTTTTTTTTTTCATTTGTTGAACACAAATGATGATATTTAGAAAAATGCTGGTTCCATAGTAACATTTTTGGGTCAAATGTTAAGACAGCACTCAAACTAATGTGTGGGTGATTTTATTTGAATGGACATAACTTTTTAAAATGATTTTAAATGTCACAGAAACACTAAAACAAATGAAATATTTGTAAAAATGTAAACATAGTTAGATTTGCCAGTAACTCTTTGCAAGGATATAATTTGTAGAAATGAATGCATTCTCTAATGAAATCATTTTATATTTGCAAACCACAGACTCGCTTTTCTTCTGCTTGTCAAAAGGGCTCAGTGATTTTTGCAAATCTTGCACCAAATTCTTTCTTTTGACAAATGGAGATCCATTTAATTGGAAAACTGTATCATGTTTTAGTTTATTTACTTCTGCATGCTTCAGAGTAAGGCTGGCTGATAAACAATAATATATCAAATCGCAATTAAATTAATTTTGCTAACAAAGCTCTAGAAATATTTATTGATATTGATCACAAAAGTCAGTTGCACAGCAGAAATATGCAACAACAGCAATCTATAATTCTGTTGATTTTAGAGGTTCACCAAATTTTTGGTCGTCGAAAATTTTTGGCCAAAAATAGGTCATGCTATTTTAGTATTGTTTACCACGCTCGTTTCTCTTTCTTGTCAGCAGTATCCGCATTCAGTCATGGTTAGGATACTCTTTTAAAAGTGGAATCATTAACTACTTCTATCAAAATATATATCGTTATCATCATTCAACTCCATTCTATAATTCTGTAGAAATCCATAGTGATTTTTCTGAAACGTACTATATTATCTACGTATAATGCAAAATAGAAATAGTTTATTATTACTGAATGAATTATTCCATACAGAAATGTGTGTGAATGCAAATTATTATTCATTTGATTGCTTAATTATTAATCAGCTATTTACATGCTCTCATATTCTGTTCCCTTTTTAACATTGGCATTATTTTACATTTTATGAAACACATTTTGTAGTTTGTTTTCAGTCACTAAGCATCTTTACAGTTAATAAAGCTACGTTTTAATAAGAGAAAATCTTTTTTTTTTATCAACATATATTGTTACAGATATCTTTAGATTGTTATTCTGCCAAAAGTTAATGCTACTAGTTATTGGTGATGTTGACTTGTCGTTTTGCTTTTTAATTTAATTGTTGCAGTCCCACCTGGTGGACTGAATGCATATTACAAGTAATGTATGTTTAGATCTGAAGAGAGCAAGTTTTAGACACAGTTTAGAAACATTTGCAGCAGATTAGTTTGACAATCATCTGCATCAGACAGACTGTCCTCTCTTGCTTCTGTTGCTTATGTGGAGATAAGCTCCTTATGTATACTGATTTATTTGACTGTTTATATCTGTTTGGACATTTGATTTGCTCTGTTATGTTGCTTTATTTTCTTGGAATGATCAAAGATTTCACCTTATGGCTAAAATATTGACAAAAAATAGCTCCTTATGCATTCAGATGTTTTTTTAAAAAGTTTGCTTTGGTCTGTTATATTGCTTTAATGTCTTAGAGTAATTAAATGTCACCTTATGGCTAAATTATAAAAAAAAAACATCTTTTTTTATTTTATGCTTGTTTTAATCTTAGTTAGTTTAGGTTGTCTCTTCACAGCAGATATAGCGATTGTAATATGCATGAATAATGGAAGGGAAGCAAAAATGTTTTTGTGCAGATAGAGAACTTCATGATTCAGTTTCTCCTGTCATCTGATTGTTATTTAAGTTAGAACAATAGCAGAGCTTAATTTGCATACATTTCAATGGAAGTGAAAATGTGAACATTTGCAAATCACATGGTGTGTGTGTGTGTGCTTTTCCTCTCTATGCATTAAAAGTTAGCTTTTAATAGTTCTGTTTTCTGGTGATTTTTTTAACCCCTTCATAATGCTAACATGCAATGAAAAAGGAGATTTTTACTTAATCATCAATACTTTATCAAATATTCACTTGCCCTCAGGCAAGGGCCGGTATAAGATTCTGACGGTATAATAACCTTGAATAAAAATGATCACAGATTATCAACAGCATCTTTACAATTTAAAGGGCACATAGTTTACCCCTTTTTTAAGATTTAATATAAATATTATGGTTCTTCTTAGTGCGCCAGTTTAGGTTCAGTTCAAAACACAATTCAGATTTTTATTATAATGTGTTAAACAGTGTCATTTTGGGCGTGTGTACACAGGCCGCTGTTTTAGGGGTGTGTTGCTTCACATAAAAATTAGTTTCAAATTTCCGCCCAACGTAACAAGGGGGCGGAGCCAAGAGCCCCCCCAATCAGTGTTTGGCAACAGACAGGCAGACAGAGAGAAGCAACATGAGTAAGAGGACCAACATTCACCCGTACATGTACAACTCGGACACAGACCTAGCAGAGAGTACACAATCATTTGTGTCTTTGTATAGTTTTACAGACAACTGTGTGCTAGTTTAAAGTTCTGAGCTTGTACACCCAGACTAATAACCACTCACACTGAATTAACTTTGACTGAGGCACCAGTTGACCCGCTTAGAGCCGCGACACGGCACACCAGACATGCACATTTGCATGTTATTTAAAATTAAACTAATCAGATGGACCTCTATGGCGCGGCCGAAACATGAAGTGTCCCGAATAATAGCTGGCCACCGCGGACAGCCACCGACTTGAAGCACCATTGTGTGTACCCTGATAGAAACCTATGTTTAGAATTCTAAAATGGATGGTGCTGCGTGGCGCGATGCTGTGCGTCACAGAGCAGCGCTTCTGGTGTGCGACCTGGAGGCAAGTTTGTTATTTTATTTTCAATGGAGGGACACTCACGTGAGGCAACGCGCTCGCACTTTCCAACTGCACCAAGTTAAGATCACTTGGAGCTTCTGGGACTGCGAGAAATGCAAACAGCTGAAGTTTAAGATAGACGCAATGAAAAGTATACAGGTTTGCAAACCTACCTACAAACAAACTAAGTTACAAACAATTATTCCGATTACAGCGATCATGTGGTGAATGTTGATCTTGTGTTGAGTCCAATGAGCCTTGCATCTAAAAATAGAGCAAATGTGTTCCTTTAGTGACATTGCTTTGACTCATACGCTGAAAATGGCGGACGTGAAAAGACAAACTTAGGATATGGTGATGCGTGCCTATCAATCAATATTGGTGGGCAGGGGGACCGCACTTCTACGTCAAGTTGCGGTTGATTTAAAAACCACTGCAATTGGTCCACCGTTTTTATGTTGTTAAATTGAAAAAAAAAGGACTGTTTTTTTATCACCCCAATATGACAGTCTATACACTATACTTAGGCCCAATCCCAATTTTATATTTGTACCCCTACCCCTTCCCCTTGTCCCTTACAACCGAGGGTAAAGGGGAAGGGCTTCAAAATTTCTCCCAAATTAGGACAAAACTACACCACCTGCACACATCATGTCCTCGCGATTTCTTGCTTCATATGAGATCAGAAGATCGCGACTGCTAGAGTGATTCCAGTTGTGTTATTTTTTGGTATTTATCTTCAGGAAATCACTGAAGGCATATATTATGTTATCATAATGATCTAATGTGGCAATTAGATCGTAAAACTGTGCATTTAACACAGTGGCCATACTCATCAATGTAAACACACCAAAACAGCATTAACATTATAGCAGACACTGTAAAAAGCTCATTCCCAGCCACTAGACTTTTCTGACTGGGTATTCCAGTGTCATCGAGTGTCAGAATGTGTGGGGCTGCTGTACAGGAGTTATGATAAGGCACTATACATTGCAATATTTAGCGGTTTTTATTTTAGCATTTTTTTTAAAAGCATGACGGTAAAACATGAATGCGGTTACAAATATATTAAACCATGTGTTTGTTGTAAAAATTCAAAATAATGACAAAAAATACTAATTTGTAGATCTCCTTACTTCCGGGTGCAGCTGTTGCTGGGGTACTCTGGGAATTTTTTCTTACCCCTTGGTTTCAAGTGTGGTCCTGAAAAATCTTTGTTCGAAGGGCTTTTCACCCCTTACCCTTAGCCCTATGCCTTCAAGCTAAAGAGAATTGGGAGACCACTACCCGTTGGCGTGCACGCGCAAAACGAGGGGTAGGGGTAAGTGGAAGGGCTAAGGGGTAGATTTGGGATTGGGCCTTACACACATGTCCGTTGAAAAGTATATTTTTCACCATAGGTGCCCTTTAAATGGCTTCTTTACAGTTTAAAATGGCCTCTTTACAGTTTAAAACGGCATCTTTACAGTTTAAAAAGGGATCTTCACAATTTAAAACGGCATCTTTACACTTTAAAACGACATCTTTACAATTTTAAAACGGCATCTTTACAGTTTAAAACGGCATCTTTACAGTTTAAAACACCATCTTTACAATTTAAAATGGGATCTTCACAATTTAAAACGGCATCTTTACAGTTTAAAACGGCATCTTTACAGTTTAAAACACCATCTTTACAATTTAAAATGGGATCTTCACAATTTAAAACGGCATCTTTACAGTTTAAAACGGCATCTTTACAGTTTTAAACGGCTTTTTTACGATTTAAAATAACATCTTTACAGTTTAAAATGGCATCTTTACAGTTTAAAATGGCATCTTTACAGTTTAAAACGGCATCTTTACAGTTTAAAACGGCATCTTTAGAGTTTAAAAAGGGATCTTCACAATTTAAAACGGCATCTTTACACTTTAAAACGACATCTTTACAATTTTATAACGGCATCTTTACAGTTTAAAACGGCTTTTTTACAATTTAAAATGACATCTTTACAGTTTAAAACAGCATCTTTACACTTTAAAACGACATCTTTACAATTTTATAACGGCATCTTTACAGTTTAAAACGGCTTCTTTACAATTTAAAATGACATCTTTACAGTTTAAAACAACATCTTTACACTTTAAAACGGCATCTTTACAGTTTAAAATGGGATCTTCACAATTTAAAACGGCATCTTTACAGTTTAAAACGGCATCTTTACAATTTTGAAACGGCATCTTTACAGTTTTAAACGGCTTTTTTACTATTTAAAATGACATCTTTACAGTTTAAAACGGCATCTTTTCTGCTGGAGAGGCTGTTGTCCTAAAAAACTAAAAAAAGAAAAAAACGTAAATAAAAAATCTTTCACATACCTTAGGAATGGTATAGCAGATAATTTTGTTTTAAAACCATGACTTTTCCAAGCCGTGTATACCTTGAAAACGTTTATGTCCCATGCCTAGCCCTCAGTAGCTCTTCTGAGATATTTAATTTACTAAATCAGTCACATGGCAGCACCTGAATACATTTAGACATTTTGCTGCATGTTCAAACTACTTATTTACAATGAGTTAAAACAATTCTTATGTTTTTTTTTTGGTGCAAAGAATAAGTTGTTTTATGTTCAATCAACTTAAATTTGTAAATCTAAGGGTAAATATTAAACTAACTTAATATATTTGTGTTGGGACATTTTTCACAGTGTCAAGATTAGTGTAATTCGTAATATGTATTTTTTTTCCACTCTAATATTTTCACTCAAGTTTTCAATAACATGTCTGGGCCGCTTGATCTCCAAACTAAGTGCTATATAAATGTGAAAAATACTATAAAAAAAACTAAAGGTCTAAAAGAAGAATGAAGATGACTATATTCCCAGTGTTTTCTTATATTTGTTTAAAATATGAATATCCTTGATAATTAATTAGTTTTAAGAATTATATTATATAATTAATATAATAATATAATTACATTAGTTATTTTAATGTATTTTTAGATATGTCTAATTAAAGTACTCAACAGGGTATGTAAACGCTCATGCACACTTTCTCTTTCTGGAAGATCTTCATTGGTCGCTCAGATGTCATTTCAGTTCCTATAAACATATTTAAATGAAGAGGTGGAGCCTTTACATTTTCTTTGTTTATATAAGGCACACCTTCCTATTAGTGGTCAGTGGGAAAATGGATCCGCCTGTGGTTAACATGAGCTCTGTGGCATTTGCCTTGATTAATGTGCCTGTTTCGATGACCACTAATCTGATGAATGTCTTTTTTGTGTACTGTATGTTTTCTTCAGACCAAGGACCAGCAAGCGGCGTAAAACCGCCTCTTAATGTTTTACTGTGGTCACTTATTGGATGCAGTCTTTTTTATAACATTTTAAACCTTTTATTTGTTTTCTTGGACATTTTGTATGCATCTCAATGGATTTACGATGTTTCAGGATCTGCTATTGTTCTTGCCATGTGGACTGGTTTCACTACCTCACTTTGGCTGAATGTTTGTTACTTCTTCCAGATCGTTCCTGTCCAGTGGCCGTTTTTGGTCTGGATGAAGCAGCACATCAGGCTCATTGTGTACTCGGCATTATTTGCAGATAGACTATTCTTTCTATCTGAATTCCTTTTTCGTGTCATCTTGGAAATGACTGAAATTCCTGCAGCAGGATTTAATTCAACCAGCGATCATGAGAACATCACCAGCGAATCAAATTTAAGACCAGACACAATTGAAATCTACATTACATATATGTCTATTCGAGGTTGTGTTTTTGTGCTTTGTGTTGTCGTCATGCTGGCGTCAGGGATTACGACTGTCATTTACTTGTGGAAGCACATGAAGAGAATGGAGAAAAACAGCACAGTTTTTTCTGTTCTTCGAAACAAGCAGCAGATGAGATTGACAATCATCGGCATCATTCAGACGGTCCTCTTCTCTCTGGGTTTACTGTGGCTTATGGGAGAAGAGCTCCTTGTGCATTTTGGTGTTTGTTTGGATGGAGGACGTTTGCTTCGCTCTGTTATGGCACTGTACTCTCTTGGGGTGAACATACTTTTAATGATTGGTCAGTCAAAATACCGCCTGATGGCCAACAATATCTGCAGAAAAGTACAAAGACTGAAACTTACATTTGCTTAATTTCCTTTAGGTCATCACGTCACAGCAGATTCATATAGGCATGAAAAAGGAAAAGAAAGCAATGTTGGGGTGGCACTCAACTAAATATTTCCAAAAATGCTCTGAAATCTGAATGTATTGAAACATCAAATGTACTCCATACAGTAATTTAGTGACTTTTGTCATCGTCACAGAATATACAAAACAAGGCTGGAGTTAAATTCATGTTACTAACGTGCCAACAACTGTCAATAATAGAATATCATTTGCAGAATTTTGAATGAGAGTGATGTTAACATTTGCAAACCAAAAAAAGTTTTCATTAGTTTAACTCTTTGCATACTCTTTATGCAAAGCAGTAAAACTGTAGGCATTTTTTCCTGTGGTATTATTCCTATTATACAAACTCTCATTTGGATATTAGACATTGGTATTTATAGTTTCATGTGTGTGTTAGGTATTTATTATATGTTTGCTTAGTCAATACTTGATAATAATGACTTTAAAATAATCACATGCTCTGTTTTTCTTAGACTGATCTTGTCATTCTGACATTCACTGTTTTTACATGCATACAGCATGACTGTAACTTGTAAGTGTAATTGAGAACTAGACAACAGTCAAATGAAATTTGTGATTTTTGCATAAATAAAGACCTTGATTCTTTTTCTTAAACTGACAAGGTACACATTTCCTTGTAAAATAAAAGTCTTGTTTTGTTCTTCAGTTGTTCCAGGTCTGCTGTGACATCAATTGTAAAAAAAAAAAAAAAAAAAAAAAAACAAGGAACATTTTAAATTTCATACAGATAGCACAGTACAAATAGTGAAATACTGAGATTTGTTAATTAAACTATTATTTTAAGTTTTTATTTCGGTTTGCACCATGATGTGCCCTCCTGTATCATCTCTGCCTTTCTGCAGCAGACAATAGTGCCATATTCCCTGTCAAAATCATGCGCATGTTTTAAACTGATCTTCTTTGATTGTAGTCAAGGGCGTAGATTTGCTCTTGACATTGGTTGGGCGTACATCTCTAAAGCGCATGTATTGAACCGCACAAATTCTGTTTCGTGCTTTTAAATCATAAATAAAAAGGTTTTAAACACTTAATATTACAAATATCAACTGATGAAGCATGCTCCGAAACTCAATTTACATGAATGTACTGCAATGTGATGCATGCATGTGATGCAATTTAACTGTTTCATCCCAATTATCAATTATTTATGTCTATGGATTTAACCCTTTGAGCACATCTAGGTCACTAAGGGTTTACAGAGCTTTATTTTATTTTTAGTGTGATTCAACTATTGGTGGGGACATTTTAGTAATTGGTGGATATTGGTGGGCACACATCCCCTCCGTCAGTGTCAATTTCTATGTCCTTGAAATAAGTTAATAATAATAAATAGCAATACCATTGACAATATATATGCAATATTTAAGCAAAACAGTAAGAGGGTGTACGGTAGCAGGAGTGACATTTTTTGCAAAACTCAGTCATTACTACTTGCAGTATATGGTGAACACTGAGCTAGCACATGGTGACCTGAGGAAGATTTGAAACATGTTTATTAACTGCATTTCTCAAAATTACAAAAAAAAAAAAAAAAATTCCCTTTTAAAAATGGGTGACAGAGTGTTATGCTTACAACAGAAAACTCTGAATTGTTGAAAATAAAAGAAGATGGAGTCAGACTTCTCTGCTTCTTGTAGACAATTTCTCCCCATAATTGTGAGAATTTCTGAGAATCACATGACTAGCGGAGCAATCATTGGGCATTTTTTATTATAACAATTATAATGTAATGTACACCCTCAACAACACGTGCACATACACAAACTCACTGCATGCAAACACACCTATACTGGCATATACACAGCAAAATATGGGGACCCAAAACAACTCTATGGGTGTTAATTTCAACCCTTTGAAAGTGTCTCATGGGGTCCACTCAAAACAGACTTAAATCAACACTTTCAAAAGGGTTGGCACATTGACACCGAAGAAAGGGTTAATTTTAACTCTGGGCAGAGTTAAAATATGTAACTATATTTAACACCGCCTGGTGTAATATATTGTTATTTTATTCAACTCTCTTGAGTGTAAATATGGTAAAAAGGTAAAATAGACTGTAAATTACAAAATAAAAAACATTTTATTTGAAAACATTCACCACTTCAACAATTCATTCAGTTTTTAAAATGCAACAATGTCAAATATGCTTTAAATGTTTTATTAGTACAGACAGTATCAACAAAATATGTATGACCAGTGCTCAAAAAGGCTGTTTCAGTCCTTTGGTCCAAACTTGATGTTTCATCAGAGCAATTTGAAAGTTCAATAAAGCGTCACTCATAGTTTTCTTCTGAACGCATAGTTTTCTTTTGAAATTACATTTTAAACAACTTGGCGTGCAAATCTTTCACTTCTGGTGTTTCCTTGGTCCTCCATATCAAACACAGCAGTTTAAATGAAGGTATAAATGCTGTAAACTTGTGTGAAAACAAACTGGAGCTAGGAAATCTCATCAAGCATGTCCTGTGAATGAAGTGCTTCCCAGCCACAGGATGTCCTTTATATCCATGACGATGTAGCAGCTGCTGATCGCTCGTCTGGTGGTTTCTGATGCACGGATATACTGTAGGGTGATGCTCATCTAAGAACTCTTCAAGACTCCAGCATGACTAAGAAAAATGTTTGAAAACAAATTGCAGTCAAATTCTATGATATATTTAAAAGAACATTTAAAGTAAATAAAACATTAAAGAAATCTAAACTAACCTTTTGAAAATCTTCATGATGAGGCACAACTTGACTCTCCCAGCTGGTTGAGGTGACAGGATATGGAAAAGTAGAAAAAACACATACATCACTGTTGGATCTCCAAAAACAATTAGGTTAACCACTATGACTAGAACTGGAAAAACAGGCAGCTGTCTGTCTAGAATCCAGAATTTAACACAACACTTGGAGCAAAATTTAGAGGAGCTTAAAATCTTTTATATCATTTAGTGATGCTGACTTCCCCAAAATATTGGCCACAGTGTAAAAAATATTCATAAACTTACAGTTTTCTGTGAGCGTGTGCGTGCATGTGTGTGTGCGTGTGTGTGTGTGTGTGTGTGTGCGTGTGTGCGTGTTTCTTTACCAGATTCAACTTGTTAGGCCCTTTCAGGTCCAGTATTGATGCCACCTTTCCTGGAGTCTAGCAGATGTTTCAGGTCCAAATATAATCTAAAATATTAGGATAAGCAGAAGAGGAAAAGTGCAAAGCAGAGCAAAACATTATTTAAGTAACAGTTCACCCACAATACAAAACTTATCACCTTCATGTCATTTGTTATTCTCTAATGCTCTAATACCCTCTCAGCTTATTGTGAAACAAATACAGAACTTTATCAAACATACCTTAATTATTATCACCACATATGACCAAGAAGGTGTGCTTGGTCATTTCACCAACTCTGGAAATACACCATCCGTCTCTAATCAGCCACCGTCACAGGGTCTTGTGTTATTGTATAGAGAACTGTGGCTGTTAAAAAACAACAACACATTAGTATCAAACACATATGCATAACCTTCAGATAAAAGAGATAAACATCACAAAGTATGCCTCACACTTTTTCAGATATCTTTTGATTCAGATGTTGATTATTGATAATAAATCTACAAATCAAACTTGTATCATCATTATGCTGCTCAAATATGAATCAGTTGATTAATTTTACAGACAGGTGGCTGTTTACAACGCACTAAATTGTCTTTAATAAAACGGAAATGTTGTGTACAGTAAATGCTAAGTTTAGCCTAACTTATAGTTTTAAGCACAATATCATGTGGGAGAAAAAGCTTGACTAAGATGTTCCTGACTACAGAAATAGCCTAACTTACTAACGTCAGACATCCCGAGTTGGGAAAAGTCATTTTCGGGGGATACAGAGTTGATTTGCGGGAGGTAACGTTAGCGGGAGAGATGAGTACCTGAAGAGCAATGAGATGAGTTGCGCGCGACGTACCTAAAAAGCGGTGGGGGTGACTTGCGCGCGACGTACCTAAAGAGCTGGGAGGGATGCGGTGGAGAGGGGTGTGCAAAGTGTTTAATGACCGGGCGGGAGACGCGCGATTTCCAGGAGATTATCATTCATTTGCGGGCATTTACTTGGGCATCTGGGAGTCTCTGTGCATTTGGGGGATAACGTTAACGTTAGTCCCGCAACTTCCGGGAGACTTCTGTAACGTCAAATGTCTGATAAAGTGCAAACGCGGTCATTTAAAGACATTAATGTTAACATTCCGACTTTAATGGTTGTCAACACTTAATATAATTCAAGCGTAACTGTTACGTTATCACACGAGTCTATGGACTAACGGTATATGGACGGCCACGAATGAACCAGTTTAAAAGGGCTGCGGTGTTTAAAATAACCAAATTAACTTACACGAATAACAAACAATCATATGTTTCAGTCAGGAAGCCTTTTACAAGTAAGCATGTTCATTTACTCACAGATATGTTTTAGAAACTCCAGAGCTCATGGAAACCGTCCTGTGTTGCCGTTAGCATCCGGGCAGAGTAGGCTAGGCGCTCCGGGGATTCCCTCGCTAGTTTGCTTGGAATTAAAGGAGAAGTGTCGATTTTATTTTGCAGATGGGTAACAACGCACAAAATAGCATTAAGCGTGACAGAAATGTGTTGAACATGTACATTTGATGTCTTTATGCACTATGTATGCGTGAGCATATATAAAAACATTCTTGAAAAGAAGTCAATAGTAATGCAGTTAAGCTAAATACACAAACGACCATGAATGAACCGCAGAAGTTTAAAATTGTCACTCCATTATAAAGTTATTAATTTAACAATATGTTTACAACTGTATTTCCTTAAAGAAAGTCAGTAAAATACCAACATTTAGGTAGTTTGACTCACCAGTTGCTGTTCTAAACCTCAGATGGAAAATGGCGTCTGGAAAATTCTTCAGTGACTGGGGCTGCATGAATTCCCGGATGTT